TGCTGCTGCTGCTGCTACTGCTGCTGCTGTTGCTGATGCTACTACTGCTAATGCCGTTGCTGTCGCTGGTGCTACCGCTACTTCTAGTTTTGTTCCTGTTACGGATGCTGCTCTTGCTGCTGCTGCTGCTGCTGCTGCTACCTGAATCTCGTTCCAACGAAATGGCGACGAGAAATGACGAACGCGCTGCGGCAGTGCGTGCTATGTCGGGGACCGTCCAACGCGAACCAAGATTTTTCATGTCCGACCTAAGAGGAGTCGAGCAAGTGCTGCGTTGCGATAAGACCGAAGATATCGTAATCCCGATGTTGTCAGGAGAGCGCAAATGTAACAAATAACTAGTTGGTTTCGTGGAATGACATTATGCCACTGTGTTTTCGACATTTTCCATAGTACAAAGTTGCGAAAGTTCAATGGCGACAGATACGATTTTAAGCATAAGGTCATATGTTCAACCTGACGTAAGTCTTAATTATAGAACGTGATTAGCGTATTTCTCTGAATATTGCGAGGCCTCGTGGAAATCATTAGTGAGTAATGTCACCGAATAATCGAGCTACTCCTGCAAATGGACTACCACTCCTTCGAAAAATGCATACTCACGTGTAAATGAAGCGACGGGTGCGATCAATCCGTTATCCGAAATAACATAGTCTAGTCTTCGAGTCGGTCGATTTTTATCTGCAACAAAAACAGAAACTAGATGAGTGCGCCGAATCCTCTTCCCCTAATTAATATAAAAAATCTGGAATTTATATAGCCGCGAAATCTGCATAAATATTTTCATACATAATATAAATTAAAATATTTTTATAAAATTATATTTGATAGAAAATATTCTTATTGTATAGATACGAGTACACTATTAGAATTTAAAAATCTATTGCACATATTTTTCACAAAATGAAACGATTATAAAAAAATTAAACATTTGTTATTATATATTTGAAAATAAAACAAAAAGTTTGGCGATTTAGGATCTAGATAAAAGATTGACTGATCATAGTCGATTATTCTTCTCATATTCGACTGTGATTCATTAATTTTCTACGACTTAAGACTCTACGACCTCTACGACTTCTATTGTAGACCCCGCATGAAACTTTCATTTATTTGCTTGATATTTTAGCGACTAGACTGTTAAAGTTTTCATTAAAGTAAAAACAAAGACACAATTACATATCAAAAATAAAATAATCTTTCTGTAGTTGCACTACTGCCGGAATATCTGAATAGAAATATAGAATAATTTTAAGTAATTCAGTTAAAATATAAAACGAGGAATTATGTAAAAAAAATACTGGAATTTTTAATCTGCATCGCTTTCTATTTTTTAGTCACTGTATCAAATCTCTAGGGAACCATATTCAAAACGGATTTTAGCATCGATTAGATTTTATGTTTAGATTTAATGAACAGTTCTATTATTATTCTATCAGCGATTTATATTCTCGATGAGAATGTTAGAAGAATATTATTTCATATTATGCATTAATGTGAAAAACATAAATAAAACTTATTTATGCATAAAACTGTAAAAAAAAACAACAAATTTTATCAAAATTACCAATAAATTACCAATAAATTACCATTTTACCGTAATTTTACCGTAAGTAATTGTTAAATTGAATTTGACGGTAATTTTACATCTCTACTCACTTGTAATATTAATTACAACATTTGATATTCACGTTTACGAATAAAATCCTTCCTTTGCACTAATGTGAAGGATTGTATTTCTGCCGCAGAGAGGCTTAACCTCCCAGTAAGGAGAAACTGGGAGAAACATGGATCAATTTCCCTTCAGGCAGGTTTTTGCGATTAGGATGCGAATCGCCAAGATAAACACATGCAGTGATAAACGATCGCGTTTGCGGACGTCCGCACGCTCGCGGACGGGGAGGGAATTTCGCGCAAATCGTGCCGGCACCCCTACACAGGCAGAGTCGCGGAAAGGTGTCGGTGGTCTTTGACCGAGTTTCGCGCGGTCGATCATATTCCGCCGAAACTCGGTCACATGCGCTTATGCATCGCCGGCAGCGGCGCGGCATCGAGCGCCTGGCCCGGTGATACGCAATGTAAGGAAAAGTAAGAGTAAAGGGCTGTTGTTCGCCAGTGAAACACGCACATGCAGAGGGTACTATGTCGGCCGGTACTATGTCGAACGTCGGAGTTCGACACGCGGAAGTTCTCTCCAATATTTATGGGTATAGCCGTCCTACTCTTCCTGTTGACTCTCGACTTTCAAAGCTTTTACTTATTAGAAAAAAAATTATTCTGGAAAAGGAAAATAAAATTACGTATTACCCAGATGCTCAATCTTAAAGTCCATAATTTTTCCTTTATCTCATAAAGGTATAACTAACGTAAAATTAATTTATAACATAATATACTAGTAAAAAATATGACTACAAAATTAAACTTTTTCTAGGTTTTATGACCAACCTACTTACCAACTTGCGTATCTTTAAACCACCTATTTACTTAAAAGTTAATTTATGTTAATTAAAAGGCATTAATTAATTTCAAGGAACTAAAATGACATAACTTGTATAAAAAAGAATTAATATACTAATTGTAAGTATATTTTAATAAGAACAATTAAAACTTTCTTATAGTATAAATATAGCATAAAGAAAATTGAATTATTTGATATTTTTAATTACAAAGAGATTTATGATTGAATTGATCCAATAGTCAGCTTTGGAGGATTAAAATCGGAATCCAAATTTTTAGTAATCTGTTTCTACATTATACAAATTTTATTATACAAATTTCAAGATTGCTAGGAGAATATGATATGTTATGAATATTTATGATGTAAACATTATCTTGTAATAATTGTTTAAGTAAAAAATTTTTTTAATGATTTTTTATTAAGGAAGAAATTGTGGTTATTCATAAAGTGAATTTGTTAAATTCGTTCTTTTTTTCATGAGACTTACAATACTAATCCCCATTGTTATATATATTTCTTATTTACTATGTAGAACATTTTCATTGCAAGGTTCGATCTACTTAAATGCACATATCAACCCTTACATTTTAAATGCCAATATAAACGGTAATACAGAAACATATGCCGATAGATATTGCATATCATCGAAAGTAGATAAGTCAATTAAATGGATAAACAATAAGAATCTCATTTTTAGACCGTACATGTGAGAACACAATCGATAAACTAGAAGCCTATACCGGTCGAAGCTAGATCTTTTAATATTTTAAATAAATTTTTTTTTAATGTGAATTATATATATGCTATAACTTGCATATATATAATTCCATATTTGTAGTTCTTCTCAAACTGCGCGCTGAATTTGGTTTTCAGGACTTATAAACACAATTAAACTACTGAAATAATACGAATTAAATTGACAATTTTTGATGCACGACGATAAATGGATAAATTCGTATACATCTCGATTCTTTTATATATATATATATATATATTTATACATTACAATTTTCAAGTAAAATGAACGCGTACTATTAAATTGCTTCTGTAAATTTTATTTGAAGGATTTAATAGCAAAGTTTCGCAACTAGGTACGATTTTAACTTGTTTGTTAATCCAATTATCGTACTAATTGCGAAAGTGAATATAAATCAAAAGATATTTTCTATTTGTCTCGTTAAATTAACGTCACATTTGACTATCTTGGCTAATGATATCGTGTTACCAGATAAAATAAATCACAGAAATGGAACAAGCTACACTTTGTTTCTACCTATATGTATAATATAATAAAAAAAAAATGATAGAGTCGTCGGTCGTTGCATAGCACGTCTTTCGCGTTTCGATATTCTCGGTACTAATTAGACATTAATACATACGCAGCAGTAAGAGCAATTACGTTATTTTTAAGTATATCGTGCTTTATATTGTTCAGTTATCCTGTGGTTTTTCCGTTTACGAAGGAAATCGATGGTTTATAACTTCGTGAGATGGTCAACGCGCAAATCGCGTGTCTCGAATCATTTAATGCATATTTTTTTAACCACACTTAGCTCTCGTAATGTGAAATTTGCGCAGTCGCGTTAGAGATATATGATTTTATTCGCTCATTGCAAAATTCCACGAAGTGTTTGAAAGCATAACAGCGCGCAATCATTTCCATTTGCTTATATTTTAATCGTGGCCATGATTTTGTAATATTACAAAAGCACAAAATATATCGAAAAAGACAAGAACGCTATACAAATACACGCATGGAATGGTAATCAAATTTTCCTGTTATTTCCAAGGAAATAACGAATAAAATAATGAATTATTACAATTTTTTCTGCTTTATTAATATTTCATCAAATAAATCGCGCGGTTGAAATTTTATAATTATTCTACAAAAGCTTCGAAACCGTACTACATGCTTTATGCTCACGAAAGGATCAATTAGATCGAAAGGAGATTATTGAATTAATGTTATTTTGATATTAATTTGACTTATGGCCTTTTTCGCTCACATACTCGCAATACATTATGGGATAATAGCGAAGAAGATTTTCTAATTAAATAGTATTAGTATTATGTAAAAGCCATGAAATTAATTAGTCAATACAGTACGTATCGAATGTACGCTTGAACGGAGGTTGTATTTCACGGATATAGAAATGCAATAAAAAGCGACGCTCTGCCAGCGTGCGAAGCAAGAAGAAACGAGGTCAACTATATCTGCGACAAATCGGCCTTCATCGAGAAATTATACGCGGTAACTGAAACGGGCGGCTACACCGAGCTCTTAACGAGTAATATTTCTGAAAGAAATTACTGTTTCCCGATTCCCTTTTTGACCCTTCGTATTTGCTATCCAAAGCGCAAATACACCCTTCACTTCGTTTCACGTTTGTAACCAATTGGCCTCTCGATTTATTTAAAATAACGCTTCTACAAAAATTGTCTACTTTTTTTGCATCTATTTAAATGTAAAAAACGCGTACAGATATAACACAACCAGAAGAACGTTAAATATAATCAGAATTATGTAAAACTATAGGAAAAATATAAAATTCAAGAATTAACATAAAATATTAACTGTAAAAGTAAGACACGCGCAGAGTATGAAATATGAAATAGGAGGAAATATTTAACCAAGAATTTTAATATATAAGAAGATAAAAGGGATGTCGAGTGAAATATACTTCAATATAGTAGTTCATGCAAATTAAGGATCTGTCCACTAAAAAAATGTGCGATGTCGGTTTTATTTCATGATTCATTACTGAGAAATCCAAGATTATTATGCATAAAATATCTCGGCCAAATTTGATGTATTTGCGGTCGTTGAGGGTTTATGGAATTCGATTTATGATAAATTATCATGAATGAATTAATGCCGAACGGAACGCAAGAGCATTATACCAAAACACTTTTCAGTGCGTCGTTCGCCTGGATTGTGGATCAATAAATAGCCACAGTGAATACATCCGCGGCGTTAGTCGTACAAAACTATACGCGATCCATTTCAATTCCGACATACACACGGAAATGAGACACGGTTCGGCGCAGACGAGTCAATTATCGGCGATGCAATCCTTGACGTTTCTTCTAATAACAATTTTGGTTTCGGCATATTTTCAATAAATTAATATACACGTATTATCATACAGCGTATGATGTTACTGAGTCTGTAATGTCAGAAAAAAAGCGGCGAAAAATATGTACAGAAATATTTTATATAATC